AAAAATCAGTACCCTGGGGTCACCAGGCTCAGTTACAACTAGAATCGGGGTTATTGAGGTTCAGAGATAGTCTTTCCCAACTAGATGGTAATGATGCTTTATATCCTTCAGGTCTCTTTTCTTCAAGGACATGGGGGCCTAGGAGAAACAGCCCAAAGAAGCAAGTCCCATCTGCTAGTCCTGGGATTTGCCTCTGTTGATTTATCTTTATCTTTTGGAAAACAATGGCATATTCTGCCTGGTCCCCTTTGCACATCCAGGGGTGCTGCTGCTTGAAAGAATACCTCATTCCATAGCTGTCCCTTTTCCTATCTTAAAAGATGATTCCCTTAAAAGAATTGTTTACTTAAGCCAGGAATTATCAAATACCCGTGGCTTAGAATTCACAGATAGAGAAGGTGTCCTTTTGTATCCCTTCCAGAAGAAGCTGCCCAACCATTGCGCTGCAGGCATAAACTCTTTCAGGATAAACTCACAGCTCCCATCTCTGTTCTCCTTCTGTTTGCTTTATGTATTCTTCATACTGGAAAACATTTCTGATATAAAAAGCATACTTGAAACTCTACAAACAAAGATAGACATTTTACTCCCAACCTCAACATAGAAGGTGTTAAGAATGGTGATCAAATAAGTAACTGAAACAAAAAATAATTAAATGGCAAAAGAAAGGGAAGAAAATAGTTTAGCTTAGAAAGATGGTAAAATGTGTATATATATTGTGGTTGTCTGAAAGCATTGTAGGGTGCCTCTGGAAGATGCTGAAATTGAGCAGTTTGGCCTCATAGACCATGAAATTACTTGAATGCAAAGTCAATGGGGATTTTATCTATTATTTGCCTTATTAGAAATATTAATATAAATCAAAACATATCAAAATTGTATCCTTAGAAACTATTAATAAATATAATTAGTTCTTTCCGGGAAGGACTTTAATTTCTCTTTAGTAGTTTTTTGACTTGTGTTGGGTGACCTAAGCATCCTTCCCTACAAAGATGATAAAAACAGTTAAAGTACTGAGCTTCTCTCTCTGGTTTCAAGGCAACACAAACTCTTTTCCATTAGGTTGTGTTTTTTTGTTGTTGTTATTTTTTCTCCCAGGTAAATTAATTTTATTTTAAAAAAATTGTATCTTTCACTCTATCTTCACTTTTCTTTCATTGAACATTTATGGTTTTTCTATCTAAAACTTAATTTATCAGATGGAATCTGCTTTTAACTGACAACATTTAACTATAGAATTTAAAAATGAAAACCATTTTATATGTTGTTATAGGTTACACTGTAGTAGACTAAACGCTTGGAAGCGTATGGGGAGAATGTCTGTCTGAGGATCATGTCCAGCTTGGGCAGTGATTTACCCCCTTCAAACACTCCCACCATGGAAGTTAGTGAGGTAAGAATAAAAATACTGATATGTGAAAGCCACATTTGTGCTTATCATGTAACTTCCTAGGTTTTAATTTTGAAAACTTGTGGGGGCAAGTATTCGGTGTTGGTGTTGATAAATTCATTTGAAACCCCAGTTGATTCAGCTGGAAGTAGGGACCTGAATCTTAATCATGAGTTCACTGCTGGGGACGTGATTTGTCTGTTTTTAGGTTGATAAAACCTCAGAGTGAATGAGAACTTCCACGGAAGTGTGTAGGAAAAAGTGTGGTGGGCTAGGGACGTAAGAAGCAGAGGGAAGAGGAGATGGCTACCCAGGGGAGGGAACACAGCCCTGGACACAGTGAAGGAATGGGGAGTTCCAGGGTTAATGATGAGAGACTCCCTCTCAGGGCCAATGGAAGAAAGCATCCCGGAGAAGGATGGCAGGGAAATGTTCACTGTCTGTCCACACTGCCACTCACAGGCTCTGTGATGGTTGTTTCTAGAAGGTAAGGTCATCTACAAGATCGATTACCGAGTACCCAGAATGCTGTAAACACTTAATAAACATGTTTGGTGACCTAAACATTAAATCAGACTTGCAAGAGCAGCCCACCCCCAAGAATTACAAAGATCTCAGCTATAGTACAGTTTTGTTCAGTCTCCTCATTTGGATGGGCAGATGATACAGAGATCAACATCAGTAATGGAGTTAACCATAAACAGATAAATAAAGCTGTTGTTTTGAATCACTTGCCGATATGTGGTAATAACCTTAAAAACGCATAATCTCCAGGAAATAGAATTTTATTGCTAATATTTTTAAATATAATTCCTCAAAAGCCTGCAATTTAGATTAGGAGAATTATTAGTTTGTAGAATTGTCTCTCCTGATCGTTTGTAGAGGGTGTGTAGTCATGAGGAGAATGAACCACTCACGAGGTAAATGACTCTCCAAGAAGGTACATTTGCAGGTTGCTATGACAACTGCTGAGTTTTATTGACTGAGGAGCCAAAAAAGAAAAATCAATTAGAGACTATTGGAAGAATTTGCACAGGAGCATAAAATCCGTCTGTCTCACAATTTGAGAAACTTTCCCACATCTGTGCTGTGTGTGTGTGTGTGTGTGTGTGTGTGTGTGTGTGTACGATTACCAAAACTCAGGGTCAGAAGTTGGGGGTTAAACCTGAAGATCTGAAAAGCAAAACAGCCAGCCACTGACTCTTACCTCTATCTCAGTCTGAAATGGCGATCCTGCCTCCCGGAATCTCAGAATGAGACTGTGTTGAGAGCTGTCTCCCCCCCATTTTATAATCTTCTCTAGGGCTGGGATTAAAGGCATGTGCCACTGGTTTCTATGGCAACTAGTGTGGCTACTGGGATTAAAGGTGTGTGTCATTGTGGCTACTGGAATTAAAGGTGTGTGTCACCATAACCTGGTCTGTAAGGCTGAGAAGTGGGACTGTTTTACTCGTAGATCTCCATGCGGTCTTTATTTATTAAAAGACATTTGAAATGTGTGACATTTGTGTGTGTATGTGCTACTGCAAGTACCTCCAGAAGTACTTCTGTCATTCTAACATCTCTTCCATACCTGATCTTCCCCAAAGCCAAGTGGTTTATTAGATGGATAAACATAAAGTTTTTGACAATGCCGTTGAATAGCTCTTGATGTTACTCTACTTTTCCTGGAGCCAAATAGTTTTGAACTTTATTTATAAAGACAGCCTTCCTCTGTGGAGCACTTCCTTCCCCCAGGCGGATGTCTAGCTAGATGATAAGTACAGAGCAAGCAAACGGAGCTCAAGGTAGTCACACGGAATGCCCTCTCAGAGTCCCTATCTCTTTTACATAGAATTGTCGCTCATGTCCACTCCTAACCTCCTGAGGTACTAGGAAAAATTACCAAGTTTCTAAGACTCTCAAACACTGGTGGCATGTGGAGAGGTCCTAGGGCAGAGCCTATAGAGGCTGAGAGCATTTATAGCAAGGTTAAATATCAGCCTAGTGATGTTTTCATAGTTGGTTGCAGGGAAGTCTCATGGACGGAACCCAGTAGTCATCTGGTGACAGCCTTCAGTGTAATGAGCTCATTGATCTCACAAGGAAATCATAAAGCTTGGAGAGTGAACTCTGCTTAGCTATTGAGATCTCCCAGTGGTAGACTGACCCACGGGGACTGGCTGTGCTTCAACAGTCCACGCTTCCAATAATAGGGCAAAGCTCAGATCGTCCTTGACATGGCTGTGTTCTTCAAATTTTAGGTTGTGACTCAGTACTGGGATCCATGTGAGCTTAGGCCATCATTATCGAAGAGGCAAAGCGGTGAGAAGCAGAGGAGAGCGGTTATGTCATCTGGTGTCAAGGTGCTTTGTAACCTCTTGGTCATCTTCTCTCTTTGTATGTGCATGCTAAGTAGCAGGACCGAGATTGTCCCCAAATCGATTCACTTGCTCATGCCAGGCAACTTTCCTGTTCATTGCCCTCTCAGCTTAACTCCTTTCACTGTTTTCTGTACTCCCCTGTGGCTCTTACTCACAAAGACTCATCTGCGTTTACTGGCTTTAATTTTTTTTTCTTCTCTAGGGATTCTTTAAAATGAGTCTTGCTCTTTAACCCATCTTCTCGCCACCTTCTCTATGCCTCTTCCATACACTGCCTAGCCCCACCCACCCTCTCTGTAGGTGTCTTCTCTGCTTGCTTATCCCCTACCTCCTGTCCCACTCCTGGTCCCACACGTCCACCTAGCAGTGTTCTCTCTCTACCTGTCCCTTCCCACTTTGCCCTGCGGCTTTCCTCTTGTCTCTGCCTTCTGTATCATCAACACCTCATTGACCTGTTCTGGTTTCCTTGTTAGTTTCGCTGTATGTATCTTGTCATGTGATCTCACACTATCATTTTCATTGACATCCTGTCTGGTGTCTGACACAATAGAAGACAAAGAATCGGTGTTGAGTACTTCTGTCTTTAATCAATCAGCCGCAAATCTCTCTTGAAATTCTACCTGACTCACCATGGCAATTTCATCTTCTGGTATGTTCTGTGTTTGAATTGGCCATTTCTAAAGCTCTGTCACATCTTCTAATTGGATATTATCTCTAAAGGGTCTGTTAAGTGGAATAGGTTGTGATATGCACTCTCATGAGATGATATTGATCCCTAAAAAGTTTTTAAACAGTACCATGGCTCATCATTGATTTCCTGAAGCCCAGATCTAGGACTTAGTCTAATCTGATCTGTGCTATTACTCTCCTTAACAGGAACTTGAGAACAATAATGATCATTATCAATGCAAAATGATGGTGTGACTTAAAACAAAAGAAAATGAAGAAATAGGGAAGGCGGACCTGCAATTTCTTGTGAAATAACAATTAGAGTTTTCTTCTTTTATTTTGAGCTAAGACCAAAATTCTTGCTATCACTTTTGTTTCTAATTGTGCTTACATTTGACCAGAGTTACAGATAATGAGAGGAAATGTACTTGTGACTTACACAGGTCTTGTTGTTTTTCAAGGTCTCTTGACAAACTTTTCACACACACACACACACACACACACTCACACACACACTCCTATGACTCTGTTCAGTGTGTCAATTATGAAGCTTTCTCTCTTTTTAACTTGTGTCTTACCAAGCTGTTCTCCTAAATGCTGGCCTCTCTCAGTTGAGATGATCCGTTCGTCTTCCATGTCACACTTGTTTCCAACCAGGATAACCTGGGCATTATCCCACGAGTATGTTTTGATCTGAGTTGACCTATAAGAAAAATAACAAGTGCAAAATTGAGCATAGGGAAATAGAAAGCATAAATAGAGGAAGAAATCCTAGAGAGAGCACAATCACGGTAAAGATGAAGCCTTGATGCTTGCCATTTAGAATTAATTGTTTTAGTATAGTTGTGCTCCTTGGATTCTTACAAGGAATTGATTGACTCCAAAATCCAAGTTGGATGTGTAGCTCAGTGGCAGAGGATACGAGACTGTAGTATGTGCCAAACTTTGTGCTTGACCCTAGCACAGGAGAAAGATAGTCAGGGCAACAGGTGTTATAGCAAGATCCATTTGTATCTAATGAGATCAGCACCACCATATCCTTTTCTCATGGATTTACATTGACTTATGTAATAGCTGTAAGGCTAAGCTGGCAAAAGGTCTTCCTAGTTATATCAGTGAAAGTTCTTTGTTTCCAGAACCTTCTCAGTTCCAAGCACACTGAGATGGTTGGTTCCTCTGTTCATAGACTGCTGCCCCGGTGACAAACACACATACAAGGGAAAATGGAAACATTGCTTTCCTCATTCACACATCCACAAGGAACAAAGGCAACCAGGGCTTTGGAAATAAAGGGAAATTTAAGAATCATAGTACTATTGTATTAATACCTCACAGTTAAGAGAAACATGTCACATTACTAAAAAATAACAAGATAGTGGGCTGGCCTTTTCACTTGCTATGAATAGACTTCTAGAACTCAGATCAGGCCCCTAGATCATGGTACAAGCAACAGATGGTTTTGAAACTTATCTAACAGTTGTGGTAGTTGTCATTTGCAGCATGGTAAATCTAAGTGCTTTGTGTACACCCTATTCACATGTTTTAAATAAACGCTGATTGGCCAGGCAGGAAATATAGGTGGGTCAGCCAGACAGGAAGTAGAGGCAGGGCAATGAGAACAGGAATAGTCTGGGAAACAGGAAGTTCCCTCCGTAGTTCTGCCCAGATCACTGAAGAAACAAGATGTGAGCTGCCCCGCTGAGAAAGGTACTGAGCCATGTGGCTAACATAGATAAGAATAATGGGTTAATATAAGTTATAAGAGTTAGCAAGAAGCCTGAGCTAATGGACCAATCAGTTTTATAACTTATGGAGATCTCTGTGTGATTTTCTTTGGGGCTTGCCGGCTGTGGAGTACCAGGTGGGACAGAAACCCCAACAAGCTGGCTCTCATGTTACAGGGAGGCTGTTGTATTCGTTCACAGTGGAGGAAAATGAGGTACAGAGGTTAAATAATTTCTTAGATCACACAGCTTGCAAAATCAGACAGCTGGGGAATCTACTCAAGTGCATGTTTCTCAGTCTTGGGTCCCTAACATGTCTTTGTTTCCTGCTACACATTAACACTTTGAGAAGTAAAGTTCCAGTGTACTGTTTGTCATCCAGAGCGGAAGCCTAGAGGAGAGGAAACCATGCTCTTTAATGATCTTCCTGTCTACTAGCTGAGAAGAGCAGGAGAGTCTCTGCGGGAGTATCTACCGCCAGTGGTTGACCAGGGGAGGGCCACTAGAATCCCGAAAAGCTAAACAAATGACAAATCTCTGAAAGGCTGGATCTGAGAAGTGCCAGGAGAGCTCAGGTGGTTTTACTGACAATTGTCAAGTCCTTCAGGATTACTGAATAGAAAATAGAGATGAGCTGCTCTCAACTGGAGGAGAGAAGAAAAGGCAGAGAGCTGTCAGCTGCAGCGAGGAGGCTTTCAGTGAGAACCCATGTTTCTCCCTCCCGGGAAGAAAGGAAGAGGGAGATAAGATTTTATGTCAGAATAATTCTTCTGGTCCAAGCCCAAGTTTTCAAGTGAAATTAATACAATTTTGATCCCACTTGGACACTGCAGAAGCGTAGTATGATTTATCAGAAAAATCTAGGGGAAATGACCATTCTAATTCTGATAAGTTAAAAGAATGTGCCCATAGTGACATTTGCATGTGCCCATTGTGGTTTGAATAAGAATGGCCCCCATAGGTGTGTGCATATATTTGAATACTTATTAGTGTCACCAGGGAGTGGCACTATTTGAGGATTAAAAGGATGGAGAGTGTGGCCTTGTTGGAGGAAGTGTGTTGCTGTGGTTGGACTTCAAGATTTCAAAAGCCCATACCAGGCCCAGTGCCTCTCTCTCTCTCTCTCTCTCTCTCTCTCTCTCTCTCTCTCTCTCTCTTTCTGCCTGTGGATCAGAACGTAGGTCTCGGCTACTGCTCCAGCGCCATGTGTGCTGCCATCCTCTTGCTATGATGATAATGAACTAAACCTCTGAAACTGTAAGCAAGTCCCTGGTTAAATGTTTTCTTTGTAAGTATTGCATGGTGTCTCTTCACAGTAATAAAACAGTGACTAAGATATACATGGGAATGATGAAATGTATGTCCTGGCAATGTTGAAGCATGCACAGGCAGCCCACATTATAGCAGTTCTGTTGAATCATGTTCTAAGTTGATGAGGATGACTAAACAGGTCTCTTCCTCAAGAGGGCATTAGATCTCATTACAGATGGTTTTGAGCCACCATGTGGTTGCTGGGAATTAAACTCAGGACCTTTGGAAGAACAGGCTGTGCTCTTAACTGCTGAGCTATCTCCAGCCCCAAGACAACCATATACTAGGTAAATAAAGACATAAGCTCTCAAATCCTATTCTTCACCATGTTGTGTACAGAAAACATGAAAATTGATAAACTCATCATGAAAAATTAAATCCCAAACTCATCATTAAAAAATCCCAGATATCTGAATGTGTAACTCCGGCACAAATGTTATTGTCCAGGCAGAAAGTTAAAGGACGACTTGTGCATATAGCTTCAAATAAGGGTCTTTTATTTAAGCTGGTGGTCAGGAGCAGGCTCCGGTCACAAAGATCTCTTGGCAGTGGAACTCACGGATGCAACGTTTATTAAAAAAAAAAAAAAGTACCATTTAAGAAATCACAATGACATCACTGTCAGGTGTAGGTAGGGAACCTGGTAACTTCTGTTTTGATTATTCAGTCAATAGACAGTCATATATCTGGGTCACAGTCAGGATCATGGTGTCCAGGAAGTGTTGCCAAGGCAGATGTGGCTGTTCAGGGTGTTGTGGGCTGAAAGGTTAACAGACAGGAAGTGGAATGAGGTGAAGGTCTGGACAAGATGGCATCACCTCAGTCACGTCACTAATATACTTTAGCCAAGAAAGTTCACATATTCATGCAGAAGACCTAAAATCTGACCAATTTCTTTCGGAATTTTTTTTGGAATATTTATCTCTCTGTATTTATGTCTGACACACCAAGTGTGAGCCAATTCTTGGAAAATTTTAGGCTGGGGGCTCATAGGAGCCTGTCACAGTTGTGTCAGTAAGGGGAAGAGGTTAGTATCAGGACGGTCAATGACGTGGTTTAGTTTGTTGGGAATCAATGCCTACTTAATGATCTACAGTAGCCCTCTGCCCTCCGCCAACTTATCCCACAAAGTGAACGGAATGAATTGGGTGTCACTCCTGTGCCTTGGGCACCCTCTGCCACAATGTGAACTGTGTGCATTCAGCTGAGGCTGATACCTTGACTAGGTCATGAAGGTACTGAGCTCGGTACCCACTGCTGTTCGTTACCCAGCAGATAGATGCTTGGTTCTATATTGAAACATCCTCCTTCTGCTACTGAGTCTCCTGCCAAAACACAAGATACTACTACTATAGATCACCCATTTGTATACACCCAGATATTTCTTAATTTGTAACAATGCATAACAACGTGCTACAAGAAGAGCGTGTTTTCTTCTGGTTATCAGAACTCTCCTCCTTCCTATTGGTTGTTTGTAATAAATATTTGAAGGTTTGTGTGCTCAACAACGCCAAAAATTAATGTGGAATGAGTCTTTTCTGTAATCATCCTATAATTTGAAAGGATAATTCATTTAAAAATATAGGGATTGAAAATTTAAAAGCCCATGGATGCTTTCAAAGTAAAATGAAAATTGTAACTTGTGGCATCTGTGCCAAGGAGAACAAAAGTTTGATAAGCCCTCAGAATTGGATGCATTTGCGCCTGCTCCCAGGGTTGTGAATGTGCCATGTTTGCCTTAGGCTTTGGTTACTCTGGCTTCTTATCACCACTGTCAGGGGGCAGCTTTGGGTGAGGCAAGCATGATTAGAACAATGTCTGCTTCTTAAATCCCACTCAACTCATCCACTTTGGTTCCTATAATTTAAATGATAATTAGAAATTTTCATTAAAGAACTGTGCGCTTTATTTTTAGTTCCTGTTTGCAGGCTGAGGTCCTACACAAGCGAATTTTCTTGGGGGTATTGCTGAGGTTGGAATTGTGGGGCATACACCCACTAAGCACACAGGCTACCACTGAGCCACACCCCAGCCTCAACATAAAGCCAATTTTTAACTGGGAGTAAATAACCTTCCTCTAACATGTCTACTAAAGCAATGCACAATTTTGTTGAAAAAAAATCTTCATTTTTGTGTGTGTATGTAGTATTTACATACATTTGTGACTTGCTTATTTGCTGCATTTTGCAAGGCTTCTTATTTGTGGGATGACTTTCTCGTCATCTGATTATAAGAACCATGCAGCTTCTTTGTTGGGAAGATGCACATTTAAAGAGAATATCTGTCACCAAGCAATACACATGTGAAAAGATGATTTATTTCTGAATCACTGCAAACATTCCCTGGGGATTTGCTGTTAATCTCAGCAAGATTAATGGAATCAGAAGCCATGTGTCAGTCTCCATGGTTACTCTTGCAAGTTCAGTTAACTCAGACCTCACCAGCACCGGATGAAGCTACTAGAACAACCACTATTTAGTTGCCATTTAGTCAAAACAAAGCAAAAGCCCTTCAGACCTTGCTTCAACACATTAATGAGATGCTGGTTGTTGGGACATACTTTCTTCCTTGCATGTCTTAGCAAAGGTGAAAAAAAGAACTTCTAGAAAGGCCGTAGGGAGCATGGGGAGAGCAGAGTCTTTAATGGTTTATAGCATTTTACACACAA